GATCTAACAACTGATAATTGAGATTGACTAATCGACTTGCAACAGAAGATATTTTATCTCCATCTCGGTAACAACCTTGACGACTGACACTCGAGATCTCGCTGTGATAGCGATACCACTGCAAAACAAATCCGGTACACCGTGAATGATGTAATCAGCTCTGGTCTTAAATGTCATTAATGATGCAAACTATAATTGTGTGCATATTAAACGACTAATAAAAATTGTTGTACAAACGTTCAAACAATTATATATCACTCGAAATGCGATATATTTCTTTTGTATAAGTTTAAAAGACACATGTTGTAAAAAAACAATATTAAAAAAAAAAATAAGCAAAAAAAAATTACACGAGTCGCAGTTGAAAAATTCTATCTGTTGATCGTTGGCGTGCTTGAATGTTCCCCTAACTGTGAAAAAAAAACGAGGATGCACCTTGAGAATTTACCTAAGTTTAGCGGTAGTTTCAGATGACTGACACTGTTTCCCGACGTGATGTGTTATCGACGTGTTAACGGTGTTGCTTGTTGCGAACTTGCGGTTCGTTCAACCCCGCGATCCTTGTGGTTGTGCGAACGCAGCTTTCAGCCTATTAGCGATTCAACGCAATGAACGATTATCGCGCACCAAATGCGCGTCCGTTTATTTCTTTGAATCGTAGGTTTCTTTCGTTCGGATTGTAAAACGCGAACTCTCTTGCACAATTGTAATATATATATATATATTTCTATTTCGGAAAGTAAGTATAACATATCTGTCTTGCCTGAAACTGAATCGCGCGTGACCTTTTTCACCTTAACTTTTTTTTAATTACTCGATGAATGTACGAGAGAGGCGGTTGACAAGTACTCGAAAAATAGATAGCGACACAGTAGTGTTACATTGCAGTTGTCGTTTTTTTTTTTTTAACAAATTTTGTCTTTCAGAAGAACAAGTGTCAAACGGCTCATTATCGCACTTAGTGTTTGCGTGACAGCTCGCTAAAGTAGACCAATGATTTTTGTAAGCACGAAAAGAATGAGGTTCGTCAAATTCCATGTTTTGACACCTGCTACGCAGATCACAAAGTCGAGTTGTGTGAATGCAGTTCTTACGAATTCTTCTCTTTTGATAAACAATACGATGCACACGATGGGTTATCGATTTCAAATTCAGTGGTCGAACTAGCTGTGAAGACGCACATACCGTCAGTAAACGCTTAAATGAAGTGACACTTCAGCAATGATCCAACATCCACGAAATCGTACGAATTGCGAATTAAAGTTGATCGCGATATAGCGGAGATAAATAGACATTTCATCTGAACGTGTGCACATCTTACGCGAACATTTGGGTATAAAAAAAGCTGTGTGCGCGATGAATGTCGCAGTTGTTCACAATGAACCAAGTTCAACTGTTGCAGCGATCAAAAGTTACCGCCTCATCCCTGCTTTATTCGCTCTGATACGGCTCTTTGCAATTTTTGTTTTTAAATCTGAAAAAAAAAAGGGATTCGGTAGAAAGAAATTTTCGAGCAACAATGAAGTCAATCAATGCCGTAAACGGCTATTTCGAAGAGAAATTGTTCTACCAAATTAAGCGCTCTCGAAAAAGAGCGCTGGTTAAAATACATGGAGATGGGAGTGTGTTGAGTATATTGAAAAAGATATACATTTCAATCTGATACTTGTTAAATTATTGTTTATCTTTTCGAATACGCGTTTCGAATATTGATCGCTTCTCGTAATTGAAAGCTTTTGAAATGCGTTGCGCTCTAATATTCTTGAAATTAAAAAAATGTATTGAAACGTATTAAAAAAAAACGTATTAAAAAACGTATTAAAAAGTATATTAAAAACTGACGCAAGGAACAAATTTATGAGAAGTATTATTTGTACAAAAACTATATAACGCGTTGTGGATAAGTTATTATGTGCTAAATGTGTTAGATTTATTATCGAGGCAAAGTATTTACGGACATACAAACATCCTCTGTTTACTTTTGGTAGCAGTAAGCTATTGTTTACATACCGTGTGTTTGAAAAGAAAACTGATATGCGGATCTAAGCGGAGAAAATCGTCTGTAGGTTACAAGGTCTTTAACATGTCTTTTGCGTTCAATTTGACACGTTCTGTAACAAAATTTACATTATAACAATTCGTGGTTTTGATTCTAATAAAAAAGGCAATTGCATTTTCGTAATAGAACACAGGACAATCTTGTAAAGTTCCAAAAACTTTTTATATTTCGAAAAATTTTGTCAATTTGATTTTATTATTAACGTAGTTAACTGTTCTTTTGAAATGATTGAAAAAAAAAAGCCGAGAAATTGTTGTAAACGATTCAGTCGTTGATATGGCACGATAAGATCCTTTGACAGAAGACGTATGGCGTTTCAGAGGAGAAAGAAGCGCCGCCGGGGGATCGTATACATATACAACAAGAACTCGTCGTTACACCATATTCGGAAGCGCTACATTTTCGCAGGGCTGGACAAAGATATTTTGCCGCCCCAAAACGGGACCGCGATTTCACGTTTTCATATCTATCCGCTTCGTTTTTTTTTTTTTTTTTATATATAATAGAGGTCAGTTAGATATAGATATCAGTTGTGTAACTACAACGGAGTTTTTGCTTTTAGCAAAGATGATGCTTTGTCTCACTATTATCACATAATATGTATTAAAAACATTTTTGTTTAAATGGATTGTTCTCGCGGGTGATAAATTCGCGGTTGCGATGAATTCAACAGCGTTTGTTACTTTTATTTGTAAGATCAACAATATGAAATCGATATGGCGATTTTTGTCATCAGCATTACCATATAAACATCTGTAAACATGTGTTTTTAGTTTGAAATAAACATATACTTAAACACATCTCTTAGTTTGAAATTACATCTTTCTATTGATAACAACAAAAAAACAAAACACTTTTCTGCTTCTCTCGTTATTTCTCTCGCAATGACAATCCCGTTAAGTTTATAATGACGGGTTTTCCTTAATAAACCTGAGCTTTCGCACGATAAAGCCGCAGGGTAACCGATGCTCTCGCACGAGACGGACTGTCTTACGCGTGCGTTGATCTTACGGCTTACTTTACTTTACAAGTACGTGATCACCATTTACGATTTCTTTCCGCCTGCGCGCACCCCACGTAAACTACGTTTCCTGAGAGATAACTACGTCCATTCATTCATTCACTCGTAACAACGTCTGTCGGTTAGTGTGTTTTCCTTAAGGCTCGTTAAAATGCGCTACTGACTATGGATGGCTTCCAGATTCCAGACGGAGGAGAAGTCGATCTTCTCAATTCCGCCGAGCACAGTAAATTGCTGTACGTTATTATGAACGGAAAGAATTCAAGTTAAAAATAAAATAGAAAAAAAAAAAAAAATAGAAATAATAAAAATAGAAAATATTCGCATGTTTTTTTTTTATGTTTAATGCGACCGTCGCATCGTTGAAAAATTGAATAGAATTTTTAATGTCTTATTGTCTCGGGTGCGCTCGCGAGAAAAATGAACGGACAAGATTGCAATTCGAGAAGTCGCTTATAAGTGACACAGCATTTTCCTAGTACGTACAATTGTACTCGAGGTCTTTCCACGTGGCGCTAATTTAATATGCAGCGGTGCACGTATCGCTTGTCTAAATATAATTCTCCAAAGACGTGTCAGCTTTCTGCTGGAAGGATTATTTCGCAAACGTGCGGGAGCAGCTATCGTGGATTAGTAAACATTCTAAAATGTGTGCGAAAGGAGCTGACATCACCCTCGTATTTCTATTTTTACGTGCGCTTCGTAGCTTCCTTTTAAGTTGATTGCATCACAACGCATAAAATTAACGTACGATCATTTAGCGATGCGCAACAGTTAACAATGATGTCGTTCGCGAACGTCATGTATACACAACTAGCGATGAAGGTATGCGCGTACAAAGAGACAGGTACGTACTTTGGTACTCGCAAGTTTCTCTCGATCGACCTAAATTTCGAGTTTACTGCTTCAGACCTTACCGAGGTCAACTAGTGTCAACGCGATAGATGATGATGAGCCTCCGTAGCCGCGTCGGCTGTACATCATTCTACAAGAGGGTAAACCGTCAGTAGATCAACGACTGTTGCTCCACTTAATGTGTTTTAAATTGCTAAAGCATATCTTAACTGCTACAAAGCGCACAAATAAAAGAGCGTAAAAAATTTTGATCAACTACAGAGACAAAATGATATCATACATGTTTCTCTTTAAAATGATATCATACATGTTTCTCTTTAAGAGCGAGATCAATTAAAATAAAACAGAATAATCGGGCAGACGCGAACAAAAAGATGTTCGTGTGCGTGATTCGTTGTTGAATACCAAAAAAATTACAGTGTATAAACAAAAATATATAAAAATTAGTAGGATACGCTGTGGCCATTTTACTAATGTTTATATTATACATTTTACACACTGATGAAGATCCAAACAAAAGGATCGAAACGTCCGTAATTTTTTTTGATATTCAATAAAAAATTACGAACATTTTGTGTTTTTACTCGCATCTGCCCGAATATTCTGTTTTATCATCTCACGAGCTTATTCAATTGATAAATTAAAATGAGATGGAACATTACCACGCAAGAACATACAAGCAAGTGTTTTAGAAAAGAATTCGATTGAAGAGAGATATAAGAGACATTTTTAAAATTTCTATCAATTGTGATATTTTTGATGATTTTATTGATTTATTGAAAAACAAATTTCACACGGTGATAGTTAATACCGTAATTTAATATTGATACTATAATATTCAATCGGATGATAAATTTGCAAGAAAGTTTATTGAGTTAAATGTATTATCGTATTGCACTTGATGTAAGATTCACTTCTATTAATCTTATATACATGTGTGTGTGTATGTGTGTGTGTGTGTGTATAACTTGAATTTGTAATATCGCGTCATATAAAATATTTCAAGATGTGTTAATTAAATTTCACAGTCGATTAATAACAACAATTAACGATTGTACGTTGCAGATGAGCGAGAAGATGTGCAGAAGAAGACGTTCGCCAAATGGATAAACTCGCAACTTCTTAAGGTAAACGATATCATATATATCTCGCGCGACTCCTATTACCGTCCGCTTCTTATCGTACCCCAGTTATTCACAAAGTTGTTATCCGAGCAGTTTCTTTCTTTTTCTCTCTCTATTCACGCGTGGAATGTGTAACATGTATCTATACTTGTTACACGTTTTTCTTTCTTTACGTTTGTTATCTGAATCTCTTTCACAACGCCGATGTAATAGCTTGTCAAGATATAACTTTCCGCGAGTAGAATACACGAAACCGGACGCGGATGTGTTTAATCCGTTTTACTTTCTGTAGAATCATCATGAGCCGATCAACGATCTGTTCGTCGATTTACGAGATGGAAATCGCTTATTGTCTCTCCTGGAAGTGCTCACTTCCAAGACTTATGTAAGTATGCCGCATATATTTTATCTCTATGCGCGCCGCAATTTAATCGCTCGTCGTTAACTTACTTAGCAGCGATCCGTGATTTTGCACAAACTTATCTGGATCGCCGATGGTCTGTCGAAAGTTAATTCACAACAATAAACGTGTCTATTTTTTGATGGCGATCACTTGAATAGGTTAAATAAAAATTTATTCCTCATGTGTTTCGCGTCAACGTACAAACTCACCGTAGCGAATTGCGAGCAGGTGCACGTGCATCGCGAATATTTGCATAAGAGTGCACGATTATGAATGCACGGTAGGCGTAAGAATGTTCCATTCTTGAAGTGTATGGCGCGCCACAGCATTTGCATTGCCGTGTGCAGGTGTTCGCTTTCGTCGTTGAAATTTATTTTGCATGGTCCATTGAATCGGCCGAACCTAAGAATTATGTTAAAATATGTCGGTTCAAACTCCAGGAACAACTTTGTATACGAGTTATTTATAAAGTGAAGATACAATATGTATTATTTTACAGAAAAGAGAACGCGGTCGGATGCGAGTGCATCATCTTAATAACGTTAACAAGGCGTTGCAGATTCTTGAGCAAAATAATGTAAGTGAGATATTTATATCACACAGAAAACTCACGTGTGTGTGTGAGATAATTATTTTTTAATATATTAAAATAAACAACTGGAAAATAGATTGAAAGAAGCGAAGTTGAAAACATTTATGTTAAATTACGAGATATTATGTTTAATAAAATATGAACTCCGTGTTAGTCCGTTCATTGTATACGTATATTATATTTTAGGTGAAACTTGTCAATATTAGTAGCAACGATATAGTCGATGGTAATCCGAAACTGACACTCGGTTTAGTATGGAGTATTATTCTACATTGGCAAGTAAGTTCGACGATAGATACCTTCCTTATAGCAAAAAAAAATCCAGACACTAGCTCACACATGATTCGTATCTCAACAGGTACATTATCATTTGAAAGATTTGATGACGGAATTGCAACAAACTAATTTGGAAAAGACACTTCTCGCTTGGTGTCGTCAAAACTCGAAGGTGATTGCAAATAGATTTTGATGAAAAAATATATAAAAAGCGAGCGAAAATAATGTAAAAAAGTTTGTTCACTCATGTCTGAGATATGTTTTTTCTTTTTAGAATTACGCTGGCGTTGATATTAAAAATTTTACTACTTCGTGGTCGGATGGATTAGCATTTAATGCGATCTTACATAAATGGAAGCCTCACTTGTTTGATTTTAATAACATCGCACGTAAACATCCAAATGCCAGATTAGATCATGCTTTTCGACTCGCGCATGAACATCTCTCTATCGAACGACTTTTGGATCCCGAAGGTAATTTCAATTGAATCGTATGTCTTCTCTTTAAAAAGTACTTACACTTTTCGATTTTTGTTGATTAATTACAACTTGATTAACAATTGAACAGTATAAACATTTATTCTATCCGAGTAAAAAGTAACAGAAACGATTTATAAATAATTTTTATAAACATTTTACTTAAGTGAAATAGTGTTTACAACGTTTAATTAGCTTTTAATCGTTGATCAATAAAATAATCAAAAAACAAAAATAATGAAAACATGTAAACGCGTTCTTACACACGACATATAAATAAACGTACATTTTTTTATGGTTTATACATTTAGAAAATTGAAGAATTATGTGTTGCACTTAGATTATTAATATTATTTTAATAATATACATAAAGAGTAACTAGATATTTTATTGCTATATTTTATTACAGACGTAAATACTTCGGTACCGGATAAGAAATCTATAATGATGTACGTTATGTGTCTCTTTCAATCATTACCGCATTCCGGGGACGATATTGGTGAATTAGATCTTTCAATCGCAAGCGACAGCACTCCAGTTAGTCCAGTTACAACACCAGGAACAGAGGTATGCAAACTTATAAAAACGTAAAACTTAGCAAATCTGAAAGAATTATATATATATACGTAATATTAACATCTGTAACTTAAAAATATTTATTTCGCAGAATGCTTTATCATTCAGTAATTTCGGAATGCCATCTTCCCGTCCTGTAAGTCTGGCCACAAATGTTTCCGTTGAGCTTGGTGGCTATCAAGTTGCTCTCGAGGATGTTCTAACGTGGCTTTTGGAGGCGGAAGATAAATTACACAATGGCCCCGAGCCGGGCGCGACTCTAGATATAGTGAAACAACAATTTCATGAGCACGAAAGCTTCTTAATAGAACTATCTGGTCATCAGGATGGAGTGGGAGCCGTGCTAGAAGAAGGTGCAAGATTGTTAGCTGAAGGCGGACTGCTTAAAGAGGAAGAACACGAAATCCGTCTGCAAATGTCTCTACTGAATTCTCGATGGGAAGCATTACGAATGCGCGCTATGGAAAGACAAACTAGAATACACGAGGTTTGAACATTTTGTAAAAAAAAAAAAAAAACAAACAAATATAGTTTTCAAAAACTATTTATTAATATCGAATATAAACCGAGTACAATATTGAATAATATTTTTTAGGTCCTGATGCAAATGCAACAGACTCAGTTAGACGCACTGCGACAGTGGCTGATGAAAACGGAAGATCGAATTTCTCTGATGGCAGCGGTCGAAATAAATCCTTCAACTCTCGAGAAACAAACGAAACTTGTCAATGAATTAGAGCAAGATATACAGGGGCAACAAAATGTAGTCGACAGTATGAGAAACATGGTAGTGGTCATGGATGAAGAAAATTCCGAGACGGTTTACGCGCAGATAGAAGATGAATTGTCCGCTCTCGGCGAACGTTGGAGTCACATTTGCCAGTGGAAAGAAGAACGACGTCAGCGATTGGAATCTTTATCTACGCTTTGGCAGAATATCACTGACGATTACAAGAGATTAGTAACGTGGCTCAATGAAACAGAAATTACATTGAAGCAAATGGAAGCTAATCCGGCGTCTGAGTTTGGCGAAATGCTAGATAGAATAAAAAAGTTACAGGTTCTTAAAGCGGAAATGGATATAAATCAGAAGAAATTAGTATCTCTTCAAGAATCAATTCAAGATTTAGATGGCAATAGCTCGTCCTCAGAATACGCAAATATTTTGGAGAAAATCGAAAATCTGCAAGATCGATGGGAAGCTGTTGGACAAATAATGGAGGTTCAAACTCAAAGGGTAATTTTTCAATATATTATAGAATGTTATATTTTGTAAAAAAAAATTCTTTCTTCCTCGTTGACAAAAAATTCTCACTTCAATTCCATTTTCTACTAGATAACAAATTCTGGATTTGAGTTTGACTTAAGATCTGAGGACAGCACAACAACTATTAAAGGAAACGAATGGATGTCCGAAACGGTAACGAGTATAGCGTACAAAGAAGAAATAACTGCAACGGTAAGTACAGTTTGTTGTCAACGATATCTTTCGGACTAGACATTTTTGATAAACGTTTTTATATTTTTACAGTCGACTCCTCATAGCAATTCGAAGAAACGGCGTGTCGATAGTACCACTAAACATGAGTTTGAATCGGCATTGCTTCATCTATATAAATGGCTCGATTATGTTGATCTAGAAATCGGTCGTTCCGAAGGAGTTTTTGACGAATTAAGCGTGGAAGAAAAGAAAGTGGTTTACGAGGATACACTTGTAGAAATGGAATCGCATAAGAGTGAATACGAGAGAGTTCTCGAAATTGGCAAACAACTTATTGAAGAGTTAGAAACTGCAAACGAGTCTTTTGAAGAAGAAGAATCCAAGCTTAAGGACATAGACAATTGTTGGATAGCGACAAACAATCGTCTTCAGGAAATAAAGAAACGTATAGATTATTTGGACGAAGTAAAGAGATTCCGCACTGAACTGGCTAGTCTAAATCTAATGTTGGAAAGTTACACAAAATGGTTTGACACAAATAAAAAGAACAATCAGATAGAACTATTCAGAGTAAGTTCAAGTATAATCTTTTCAATATGATCTAATAGTACGTTTGTTTTTATATCTTGTTTATTTCACATGTAAAATACCGATTTGTTGTTTAGGTCAAAATGAAGTCAATGAAATCTCATGATGAACGTATAAAAAAGATGCTCGAAAAAGCAAAAGAATTATCGGAAAATCAAATTGCAAGTACAGAAAATAGTAATATAGACGCAGAAGTAAAAGTATTTTCCATCAATTGGGAGAAGCTGTGTAATATGTACGTATATGTTTTTGAAAAACAGAACAAACAGATACACACACACACACGTACACACTCACCCACCAATACACCTGTTATATTGGGTGAGTGCAAAAGTTTTGATGGATTTTGTGATAGTAAAATAGACCAAGTAACTTTTATTTTTAAAAACAATTTATTCGATTTCTGTCAAATACAACAGCAAAAAATACTAGAAAACAATGAGATTTGCTTGATAGAGTAAATAAATTCTTTTAAATAAAATTATTTGATTTTCCATTTTTCTATAAAAAAACTTTTACACTCACCCAATATCTCTCAAGTGTTATATTGCTTGTTTGAAGCAATGTAATTCTTTCAGGTTGTCGGATCGATTGACTGAAATAAATAATACTATTGATCATACACCGCCGAAAAAATATATTGAGGGAATTACTAATCTGACGTCGTTTATTAATAACATGGAAGGTGTTTTGTTATCAGAGCATGTACTTATTTCTGACGAGAAGACTATGGAAGAACAAATAAGAAGATTGAGAGATATACAAAACTCACTAAAAGAACAGGAAGAGATTTTTAAATACGTTAACTCTACTGGACAAGATCTAATAGCAAAGATGAATGATGAGTCTTTAGAACAACGATTTAAAAATGAGTTACAGGATTTAAATACCAAGTGGAGTGATATTCCTATTATTTTGGAAGAGAAGCAACAGACTTGTACCAAAAGTAAATACGAATATTTACGCAATAAATTACATGTGACTCAATTCAAATTTATTTTCAATTTTTAAACTTTATAGTTTATAATATAAATTATTATTTTTATTTTAATTATATATCTATAGGACAAAAATTTATTATTAATACGTATGTATTTTAGATATTGCAACTCTGCAAGCATTTAATACCGAGTTATCTACCCTGGAAATGTGGTTGGAAAAATCAGCGTTACATTTGGAAGACTTATCTAAAGACGACATTATGGAAAATAATTTTGAAGAAACAGAACGTAGAGTAAACCAAATTCGCTCATTTTTTCAGGAAATAGATAAAACAAAACCACAGATAGAAGCACTTCGAATATCGGCAAGCAAGATACTGGAAAAATCCGAACCTAATTTTGCAAGTTTAATAAATAGTAAATTAGAAGCTGTAACATTCAAGTGGACTGTCATTTTTGATGAAACAAAAAATCTGCTCAACAAATACGACGGCGCTTTGAAGAAAAATGACGATGTAAGTGTACATAATCTTAACTTATTAATTGATGCAATTTTATTACATATATATAATTATTTTATTTTTGTTTAGATTATAAACGGCATAGAAGATTTTACGAGGTGGTTATCGAGTTTAGAGAAAGAGATACCAGTGGAATCGAGAATAACATCGTCAGTCGAGCTTTTTCAAGTTCGCGGCAGATATCAAGCATTGAAAGATAAAGTTGACAAACGGGTGGAAGACTTTAGGAATCTCAACGAAATGGGAAATGACAAACTATTGAGCTCAGAAGGATCATCCGTGCAAGAGCTTGGTAGACGCTTTACTTTCTTAAATGCACGATGGACCGACGTTACAGATCGTATATACGAACGATACAGACACTTACAAAATGCTAGTCACGAATACGGGGAGTTTCGTGCGTTGGTCGCACAGGAAAGCGATTGGTTAGATAAGTTGGAGAAGCGATTGAAAAAATCGTCCAAGGATGCTGCAGACGCGGAAGAAATTTCAGAAGAGCTGGACGTAAGTAAATTTTTTAATACTGTAAACATTTTAAAAAAACATCAAACGATTCTCTCTACTCTCGCCTATACAGACACAATGTTTATAATATTTTATGTTATACGCGTTTTAAGGATCTAGAAAATTACATGCGGAATCACCCGGAATCTAGACTTAAAAAAATTCAAGAAATTGGCAAACAACTTATTGACAGTAATATTATGACTTTTTCTATCGAAGCAGATGTGGAAGGATTAACGAATCGATGGGAAAATTTAAACAAACAAGTACGTACATCTATGTTATGTATTATATCCTTCATGTCCATATATTCTCCCTCTTTATCAAACCCATCTGTTTAGCTCTCTGCTCGCATACACGTCTTGTTTTAGAGAAAATATGTTTTAATCTCAGCTTAATTATTTTATCGAATTGTGTTTAACAGTGTTAAATATATATATATGCTAGCATGGATGTAAGTAATATTTTAGCCGCCAGAATAATTGCATGTAGCATTATCACAAATCGCTCGACACAAAAATTTATACATATATACATATACATATATTTATATAACGTATGTATAAATTTTACAAATAGAATATTGTACAGATAATTGTATTAACTATAACAAAGATTTCCTATTCCTTATTGAAACAAAAAATTGTCTCACGTAAATATCATGTAGATCCTTATCAGTACGTATATTACATTATAAATAGTTTTGCTTGGCCAATCATAGCTGTCAAAAAATGCTTTGTAATCGTGAGAGTATCATGATATTTGCTTCGTAAAATTAGTTCAGGTGGAAAGACAGAATTATGTTTTGAGTAGGCAGGGCAACGGGCCAAGCTGTTGGAAGGATCAGTGAAGCAGGCCCAGCAATCAGAAGGGCGTATCCTTGCTCTTCAGCATTCGTTAACACAAATAGACTATGTACTAACAGCACGTCTTGATTGTGACCTCACTGCTGATGACTTGCCTCACGATTATCAGGTCTGTTGTGATAATACATTATATATAATGTATATTCTATAGTTGTATGACTTATATTATTAAAATAAAAAATAAAAAAATTGTCGCTTCGTTTCTTTCTAAAGTAGCATGCTCAAAAGAATTCGTAATCGTGCTAAAGTCTGCATCCTCTGTACAGATTTGGCTAACTAATTGTATATCGCAAAAAATAAAAGAATTACTAAAGATTTATACTAATACGCGTGCATTATACAAAATTAATTGAAAATAACTACGTCCAACGCGGCGTTTACTTTATGTTGATTAATTCCACGTTATGGCTACAGAAATTAATGGATGAGTTGGAACAACAGCGCGCTACGCTTGAAGAAATGGCATCACAAATTGAATCGTACAAAGCATCCGGGAAACAAGAAGCGGCACTGCGACTGCAAGAACAAATGTCCCTGATTGAACAAAAGTATACTAAAGTGCAAAGAAAGTTTCAACGCTTTCGTTGTTCGTCTAATATCGAAACGAGATTGACGAGAGCTTTACGAGAACTCGGAGGTATAGAGGAAGCAACTTGTTTGCTAGAATTATCGTCAGAAGATCCCGAAGCCATTGAGAATCAACTCAAACATTGCTTGGTAAAATTTATTATTTTGCATGTTTGCACAATCTACTTAACACGTGCATCTTATTAATTTAAGTCGTATTTTTTTACAGCGATTTTACCAAACGTTAAGCGAGATTAAAAGTGAAATCGAATCTATAATCGTGATTGGCAGAAAACTGGTTGAGGATAAAGCTGTTACCGAATCGGAAAAATTTTCCAAGCGAATTGATATGTTAAAAGACTTGTATAATAAGGTACATACACGAAAATTCTCTTAATTGTTGTTTTTTTTTTTTTTTTTTTTACAGGAAATTGTATCAAAAGAACAATTTATAATTTTGTTGCAGCTGGGCCTACATATAACGGAATCCAAATCGATATTAGAATCGGCATTAGATTTGTCACGCGACATACATAAAAATTTGACGTATGTCAACATGTCGATCGAAAGTATAAATAAGGAATTAGATGCGCAAAAAAGTATGCCTAATTTGCCAGCAAATACGATATATATACGAGTAAGGAGAAATTCAAAGTTTTACGAGATCGTTATAAGTCAGATTTATAGTTTATTAAATATGAACAAATTGTTTATTAAGTAAATTATTTTTATGAATAAACTATAAATTGTGTATATATATATGATATAGTATATATACCCCATTATTATAGGAAACCTTGACTGAAGTAATTCCGCGTCTGAATAGCATAAAAGATAAATTGCTTAAATCCCAGGATGAATTTTTCAAGTTGTGTGAACCTATGTATCTTGACCAACTTAAGGAAAAAATTTCTGATGTAATTACAAGATTAGCTAACACAGAAAAGAGATTACGACTCTATAGAGGTTCAGAGGTAAATGTTCTTATTAAATATTTCTTTTAATATTTTACGTATATATATATTTCGTTTTTTTGTTTGTAAAAAGGACGAACCTAATGTCGACGAAATAAACGCATGGCTTTTACAAGTGGAAGAGAAGTTGAATCAGTTAGATGCGGTTTCAATTGACCAACTCACAGAACATCACTTTGAACAGTGCAAGGTATATTTATATATATATATATTAAAATGTAACAAAGTTATATATTTGTATTTTGTTTTTGTAACGCGTTAAATAACTATTCTCGAGGGTCGTCGTGAGTAATGTTCATCAAAATATCTTTAATATCTGTTTCATTATTAGGCTGTACAAAACGAAATGATAGAGGCGAAACCTAAAGTTAATCAGCTGCAACGCTATACCTTCTATCCTAAGGTAGCCGAGATATGTGAAAAATGGGAAGATATATCTAACAGAATACAGGTACGTATTTGCTCTGATTTTTAAGAAAAAGTTTTTAATGAAGATTTTTATCTGTTATCTTTTTCAAAAGTTTATCAGTTTTATCATTCATTATTGCTTATTTGCACTCATGGCTTTATTCCTTGCTTTACACTTTAACTGTCGGTATATGTAATGCTTGTGCTTATATTAGTACCATTACGTATATCTCTATCACATGTGTGTGAATGTCTTCTTTTTATAAAATTTTAATTATTCTAAAAAAACATGCAACTATTATTTATTTAAAAAAAAATTTTTTAATTTTTATTCAATATTAAACCTTGTAATATTGAAAATATTATTTCGTATAATTTTTCTTTTGCAGCAGGATTTAAATGGAGTTATATATTTTAATAATACAATATGTGTATATACTATATGTATATATTGTCTCTTTACATATGTATATATTGTATAATTAAGTAATGATATATAATGTTACACCATTTTATGTTCTCTTGATTACGTTGAATATGTACATATTAAATGTAGTAATTTATGTTTGTTTAACATGTGTGAAATATCATATATACCTTGATTTTGTCCAAGAGGTGACTCTTATCTCTCTATAAGTATACATATATTCTGACGGATGGCAAGATTGGACTTTGCCGATTTTATGATATTGTCTCTCCCCTTGTGTATAAAACTTATTTTTTTTTTACAAAAAAAAAAGAACTTAGACGGCAAGCTATACAGTTAAAGAAAGTTAATTGAATCGAATAGTTGAGAGATTATTGCATTGGTGATGGAAGAATTCAGCTTCATATGCACAATAAATCGCATTGTCACTTTCATTAGACTATGCTTTAATATTGTCCCACTATTAACATCGCTCTTTCAATTAACTGTTGATTGCCCATCAAGTTTCTGTCACCTCTCATGTTTTCACAGGAATGGATCCACAAAATCACAGACAATTTGTTAATAAAAAGTAAAGCAGAATCGTCCAAGGGGAGAGACAATTATGGACGCAACAAATCACCCAGACAGCTGGAACAAACTTCAGCTGCTCATCCTATTAAAAAAGAAAAGAAATTAATCGATGAAAACGAAGCGATTTACGGCATAGGATATCTTAATCCTGCGTTTGATGATAATCAATCTGCGGTCATTAAGACGCCCGAAAGCTCTCCGATTGATGTACCTCATCGGAGCAGAAAGTCTTCCGCTAAGTCGGAAAAAGTAAAAGCTAAACTGGTAGATGTTAGTAAAACAGTCAGACGAAAATTAGACATGAGTTCTGTGCCCGATGTTGTTCAGACTTCTCAAGGTGTTCAGATTGACGATGACCTGCCTTCACCATGTTCCGATACAGATGTATATATGGCTGACGAGGAAGAATTCTTCCTGGCTAAAAATAGTAAACTGTTCTCTCAAGTATCTAGCAATACTCTGACAGCAACAGATACTAAAACGTTTAATCCGGTTGGAGCGCAACAGAATCCATTTCGAGTAGTGGAAGTGAAAGAAATGGAAATTATAAAATCGGTAGCGTCTCCAGAAGATCATGTCATTTTGCCAAGTGCTAACGTCAGCGTTGGGTTGGTGCCTCAGGTAGTTGAAAGAGTGGAAATTGTTGAAGACACTGAGACAGAAGCTGAGTCCATAGATACTGATTCGGAAGACAAAGAAGGAAGAGGAAAATTGTCTTCTGGAATTGTCTCTGTAGAACAGATTGTTAAAAAAAAAGAACTTGTACCAATTTTGAAAAAGAAATCTCCAGAGCCTGCTATGAAAAATATTAAGAGAATTATATTAAAATTAGATTTGGATAATAATCAAGAAAAAGTTAGCGATTCAAACAAAGATACAACATTTTCAAGTAGCGCGCCATTAAGAAAAACAGAAGCTGCAGGATTTTCAAATGCTGAGTGTAGTAAGAGAGATGAGCAATTACCAGAAAATTTAAATAAGCCAAGAACAGCTTCCACATGGAAGGATAAAGAAAGTGTGGCCGAGTATCTCATATTGGACGATAATGAAGAGATTGTAAGGTCTAATGCAAAAACTAACGAAGAAACCGATTGTGCTAGATTACAAGATGTAGTCTCAACCTCAAAAGAGATAAACGATCAGAAAGAAATGACTTCTGAAAAAGCTAATGAACCTTTTAAGACACAGAAAAATGCTGATACGAGTCGTACGAGCGAGGAAGATAAGCTAGGTAAAAAATTATCGCTGCTGAAACGTTCAAGAAGTCTTTCAAAAGACGATACACTGGAAGATTGTGACAGCTTTTACGGCAGCGATAAGGAGACAGATGATGTGTTAATATTTTCGGATGATACAGAAATTGATGTTGATAGTTCCAGTTCAGATGAAGAAGATCCTAATTTAGGAGAACATGTTGAGCACCTCTTGGACAAGGTAACGCGTGCCGCACATACACATACACACCATTGTTCATCAATTCTTTATTTATTTGAAATGTTAACTATAATGTTAGGCATGTCTTCTCGACAAATACTATCATTTATATGTGATAAAATAAATATAATAATCGTACGCGATAATTAAATTTGTTTTTTTTTTTTTTACAGATGAAGGTTGAAAAGACCCGGCAATTTGTGCAACAAAAAACGGAAACAAGAACTTTCAACGAGAAACTTTTCAAAGGTCCAATAGGTACATCACGGACAGCGTTGGAGAAAAATATTTTAGAATTCGAACAAATAGCACAAATGATGTTATGCAGAATGGACATTATGTTAATGAGCATTAGTGGCATTTCTAATGAGAAGGATCCTACCAAGCGTCTTGAGGTTTCTATAACACGCCTTTAAATTTGTTTACGATCAAAATTGTTATTTTTTGATGATCATAATTTACAATAATTTGTGTGGTTTTGTTTTGTACATTACAGATACTCAAGAGCGAGATAAGCACCCTCGCACCAGATGCAGCAGCTTTGATCAGCAAAGGAGATGGTTTAGTTATGACAATACACATGACTGATCCCGCGCGAGCAGAAAAAATAAAACATGAACATCAAGATAAGCTGAGGAGCAAGTGGCACCAGGTAATGACAGAAATCGAGACGCGAAGAAAACAAGCGCAAAAAGCAGAAGAGACTCTGCGCCAATATAACAACATAATAGCGGAATTCGAAGACTGGTTTAGAGATGTGCCATTAAAGCTTGAACAAGCTAACAATTACGAGGGCCAGTTAGAATCATTTACCGAAGAGTTCGATGCCAAACAAATACAAATACATAAATTGAATGAGCTAGCCGCGGAATTAAGAAAATTAAATGTTGGTTATTCGGAATCGGTACGCTATCACATTAATAGCAACTGGCAAAAAGTTAGTTCGCAGTTCAAGAGATTCAGTGGCAGCAAAGACAAAGACAAACACGTAACCGATAAAAAAGTAGAATTGGTATGTATATTGAGTATTTATTTTACTTATTGAAATATACTGTAAATTAATGACTAAATATTATATAAAAATTTTTTATCCACGATCACATGTTTCACAGGATGTTGCGGGAGTTACTCCGCAAGAATTAATTGCGCGTCTTAACAAATTGAGAGAAGCTACATCGACTGTTTCACGATCCGTCAATTCCTTACCGTTGAACGGTAAAGATTATGAGCGGTTTGCAAACCAAGAAGATTGTTTGAAAAAAGTCAACAACGCTTTAAGTATTTTGAAGCCAAGCGTTGATGAGGTAAATTATATTTGCGAAAGTGTCACACGGCAAGCGAAAAGAGAGCAAGCCGATCAAATAAAACACTTAAGTGAGAAGTTGCACGACGAATGGACGAACGTTAATCAAAACTATATTGAAAGACATAATCGTTGGGTTAAATGTTACGAAAAATGGAGAGAACTTCACAACACCTGTCGAACGTTCTTGGAATGGTTGGACAAGATGGAAGATTCTCTCAAGAAATGTAATGCCAGTCTCAGCCAATCTAAAGCGAGCAAAACGAAAACATTCGAATTAGAGCAAGAAGTATCTAGAATGCAAAGAACGTTGAACAATATTAATGTAGCGAGTGCAGACATATCTAGCCGGGCTACTTCTGAAGATGTAAAGGAATTACAAAGTATGGTTGAAAATATTAAACATCGTTGGCAAAATCTAGTTGCCGAAATAAACGCGCGAAAAGAGAAGTAAGTAAAAAAAAAAAAAAAAATAAAAAAGAGAGATAGTACTTCAAATAGTTTAGCAATAAAAAAAAGTATTTTTTAAATAAATCTCGAATGATAGTCATTGCTTGTGGTATAACACTATGAAGTTACGATTTGCTAATCCAAACAAGCATGTACCATTGCAAGGAAAGCTCGGTCTAGCATTGAGCTATTTCAGTTGTGTTTTGCCTGTGCTGCTGTGTGTAGTGAAGTCAGTCAACTCAGAATAACTTCAGAATAAACGAACAACTTTCACACGTTCTTGTAATCTCAGTTTTGTGTGAAAAAAAAAAAGTAAAATACAGTTGTATAGATATTATATAATTAAAACTTAAAAAAAATGTTTCTCAAAAATAGTTTATAAATAGACGTTTACAATATGTTTTACTTACTACGTTTCGAATATTTTACAATAACGTATTTTTTATTCAAGAAATTTTGCTATGGAGAAAAAAGTGAATACCGACGGCAGAATTTTGGATACGGCGTACAATATTGTGGAACAAGTAAATACTCTGTTAGGATCTGCGGCAAATCCTTCGGACGAAACCTCATTATCGATTCGACTGTCGCTAATTAAGGTAAGTTAACACACAACTTGACACATTTATTTTTTTTTTGTTCTACTAGGATCTGTTGAGAATCGTCTGGTTGTTGAAGATCGTTGTGGTGTCAAACATTTTTATTGCGTTGTTTTATCTTAAATATTTATACACGAATTTTCAACTTTTAAGCAATTAAGAATTATTTCGACAATTATAACATTTTGTTTTGTAGAACACATTCATTGTTTTCACAGAAAATATTATACGTTACACACACTCATTCACTAAAAAACAAGTATATTTTCAAAATCTAAAACATCTCTACATATTTTTTAATAATATTATAACAATTAGTATTGAAAAACACTAACTCTGCGCTCAGCTTAGATGCGACTTGGATAAGTAACGGAATTATTCTCTTCGAGATTCGGTTTCAATAGGTTACAGTATGCTCGGTGCAGCATAATCAAATAAACTGAAACTTGTCCTAATAATATCTCTACATTTCACGACTGTGTATATGCCGAACCGTGCCAAGATATAAATAGCATTGAACTCTCTCTTTCAAAAAGCTTCGTAGTAAAGTTTACCTATATACATTTACCTTCTATTTTATTTTACAAATAACGTCGATGAGAACATATATTTGTAAAATATTCTTCACTAATTTAAACATTTCTCTCTTTTTTATTGAATTAATTATATTACATATGAAATCATTGTTTGATGAGAATAAGTAACAAGCAACAACGTTTTTTTAATTGAAAACTCATGAAATATTTACAGGCAAGAGAAGAAGAACTTTTAACACGGAAAAGAGCTTTGCAAACTTTATTAAGTCAACATAACGTTGCAAAAGAAGAAGGCGAGAACAATAAGCTTCTCACAGATATGGAAAAGGTATTGATCGGTTATATCAAATGTTCATTATTTTATAATTTTAGAAACTCGAGAGTGAGAAAGAAAGAGAGAAAGTGAGAGAGAGAGAGAGAGAGAAAGAGAGAGAGATTTTGCTTTATTATATGGTGTAATAATATTTGTTTAGGCTAATGTAAATCTTACAAACCACCGCGAATATGTAGAAGGTAAACTTGCGTCGCTTAGAAAATACATATATATTCTGGACGCTGTTATGGCTTGGGTTATGGAAACGCGAACACGATTGAATATTTCTCAAGAATTACCGCAGCACGAGCGTAATGAAATGATTAAAAATATTATGGTAAATACAATTATTCTTCACGTGCTTTTACTTAAAAAAAAAAAAAGACGTTAAATATTTTTATATTTTTTCAGTCCAAAGTCAATGATCGCGAGATGGAAGTAAAAGATGTGTTAGAAAATTATACTAATTTGGAAAAAGAGTGTGAATCAGCGAAACAGTCTGTTTCTGTTGAACTTGAGGTATGCAAAAACCATATTTGTTGCAATAGATAAAAATTATATAATAGGTAAATAGTGTCATTATTAAAATATATTGTTATTGTTTGATTGTGTATTCTATAATAGGAAAAGTTGAAGAAGCTGAGGGAAGATTGGCAATTTATAAAATGTTACGGAGAAAATCATGAAGTTTTGTCCACAAGTTCTACCGAGACTGCATCAAAAGGTAAGACTAAACATCGTGTGTTTTTACACAGTTTACAAAACTATTTTTTTTACACACCTGTGGTATCTTTTGCTTTTATTTTAGTATTCTTAAATTATTTTTTTTCCAGTTAATATTATAAAATGTTATTTATATATAAAATGTTTGTTTATTTATATTTATTTGTGTTCAGAAAAAAATGTTTCCGCATATATAATCTAATTATAGTTCTAAAAATGTTTAGAATATAAAATCTATACATTTTTTGCATATTTTGTGTAAAAAATAAAAAACAAAATTATTTTTTCTTACGATATAGTCTAGAGATATTGTTTATAAAAAATTTATATATACTAGAAATATAAAAAGATAATTCTTTTTTTTAATAATAATGAGTGTACGCGTTTTATTTTGTACACTTTATAGCAATGTATGACAGAAAATATTTATGCAAAAGAAAATGTCGTTAACGTCAAGTTCGGAAAAGCGGTATGGCCATAAAGAGAGATATTTGAGCGTTTAATATGAATAGAATCAATTCTGGTTGGTAAATGTGTGTCCTTACGAAGGACAGAATCTCCGAAGGAAACAGTCAGCCGGACAATAAATAGTACGTTTAGCTGGTCCGGTAAGCGCGGCCACATTTCACTTCCACCCCATCCTGCAAGACGATATATATCCGGCGCGTTAAGTGCAGCCTTTTCAGCAACTGGCCGGTCCTTTCTCCTTCGCTACCACCGTTATTCGATTGTTTGGTGCACTAGAACATTGTCTTATTGAACATATTTCAAAGATTGTTACATTGATGACATTAATTTCCAACTAACCGCACTATAGATGCAAATTACGTTTTTGATATATTATTTTGCAGATATTGAAATAAGAATTTAGTATTTTTTTATATTTACAATTGTGTGTGTGTGTGTGAAAATTATTCAATTTAATATTGTGATATCACTTCCTTTCTTTTCAATTTTACTTGTTATTTATTTCAACTTTTAACTCACAGAGATTTAATGTTGGTTTTTAATGTTGTCAAAAATTTGAATTCTATTTTTTAACAATTTATTAATTAATTTAACGAAATTGATTATATTTTTGATATTTGTGACTTGCACCAATCAAACGAAAAAAAATAAAAAAAAACAAAGTAACATGAAAAACAGAAAAACTGAATACAAATTTTGTGCATTATTTAAATAAAAAAACAATGCGAAGTGTATATCAGGACATGATCGTTTTGACGAGGTTTTATCGAAATTGTCGTGACAAAAAAATTAAAAATTATACAATTAAAAATTTACTCATCACCGGTCGTTGCTTTCATCGACATTTCTTTTGTTTCCAACAACCTTTCTTCTTTTCACGTTCTGTTAGCAACTTTAAAAACAAATATGCTAGAGAAACTAATTACGATGACCTGCGCTAATTAACGCGATACAAATGAGAGCTTTTGTGTGTACTTGCAACTTTTATTTCGACGCACTTTGTCAGACAAGCGTTACAATAGGAAATCTGAAGATCGTTTGTCGCTTTACTCGACGCTTTTGTAACAACACAGTCGAGAGACGCGATGTATCGAGAAACTCAAAGTCATTCGCGGCAACTTTATATCGATTACTACCATGTGTACCAATCGCGAAGCTAAATAACAGTATTATTTACTAAATATTTACAAAAAAATGAAATCAATATTTCTTGTGTGTGATTGTATGCGTGATATAATTCGAACTAATACCAATAAAGCTAATAACAAATAGAACGCGTTTCAACGCGTAACGCGATGAAAGGTTGTCGTACCAGTTATGAATATCACAGAGCACAATTAGTGGCGATTGCGCGTTAATTAATGGTTCCATGGCATTGGAACGTCGCACCATTTGGCATTGTCAGTTTTCATTTGTGTTATATTTATACGCGCGATTTACCTTTGGGATAGAAAGAATACACGAGATAAAAAGCGATTTCGGCACGGACCGATTGCGAACACTGCGTACAATAAGCTCGGTATGACTGCGCTACGTCGACCAAACCGATCAATGGCATTTAACAATCCGATCTCGCTATTATACACATTAAAATATAACAGCGCGTTATCGTTTCGCATTTCGTTTGTAATTAATATTTCGGTGAGAATAATTTATTCCTTTTCGACATAATTCACGATTTTAAACCGTATTAATTACATTTATAATGCGCGACAGTAATTTGTTGTGTCTCATTATTACGAAATTATTACTAAATGAAACTAATTATTGTCTCAAATTTTGTAGATATTTTAATTGTATGTAATAAAAGTTTATTTGTGTTTTTTTTTTATACGCTCGAAATTAATATTTTGATTTGAAACACACACACACACACGCACGCACACGCACATAATATAAAATGTCAAATATCAAGTAATTATGTAAAAACAGATTGAAAGAAGAATAGAAACGTACAGACAGAATGATATCAGAAAGTATTTAAACGTGCTGAGTTTTACATTATGCAAAAATGATCTCACAACGTAAGCGAATAACGACTTTCTAGTAATCGATATTCTTATATCTGTCTTTATATACGAAGACCACAAGAGAAGAACTTGATCCAAGTCCATTTTTTTCGATTTTCCGTTTTTGATGTTACTTGGCAGTTAAGGTGGAGTATTTTAATTATTCAAAGCGAGAGGGGGAAATTTTCTCTAGATAGATAGATAGAGATATAAGAATTTTTATGAAACGTGTACAGAAAAAAATACACGTACGTGTTTCGAATTTTAAAATCGCTTTCCACAAAAATTACGAAAAAATGTTACTTATTTTAAGAGTTTTTTTCCTGTGGTTTTCATATGACAATGTTTTATATCGAATATGTGTGTGTGCATACACACACATATACGCAAGTGCATACATAATTGCATTACTAAAAACTACATTTCGCGTGAATTATAGATTTTCAATAATAAAGTCAAATAAGGCATATGTAAACATCATCTCATCAGTCAGACACGTGATCGGCTGCGCGTACGTCAAACAGATGTTTAGTAATAGAAGTGTCGCTGTCCAATGTTAACAATAGAAAAATGAAACGCCGAATGTCTGACGACGTAGACATTTCTTAAAACTTCCATATTTTTAAATTTAAACGAATTTTACATTGTTGTACTTTTGTTCATAAGATATTAAGAGAAAAAAATCGCTTCTTATTATATATTATTATAAAACCTCAAAACTTTTAATAGAGAATAGTTAGAATTTCATCAGTTTCAATCGTTACTGAAACGTACAAAGCTTTTAGCTCGGAAACCATTCGACTCGCGTAAGTAAATCGACCTCGTATACTACCGTGACCTCTTGATATGTACAAGGTATTCCTTTACTTGCGATGAAATTACGTTCCGAGACTTCGGTCGTAAGTCTAATTGCGCCGAAAACTTATGTGCACATATCGTTTAAATATTTCAACTGATATATTTTGTATAAAACTTTAGAGTCGTGCAAAATATTTTATTATTTTATTAGTAAAACGATTATAGATTTCTACTTTAAAACTGATAAAAAAAAAAACTGTTGTTGCTTAGGACTATAATTCTTAATATTATAAAAATAATATTTAGCTTAACATAAAATCAATTATTTATTTAAATTTTTTAATATTCATTTAATTTTATATCGTCGATTAATTGTATTATCGGTGTCACTGGTGACACTAATGTCGCGCATAATGTCGTAAATACGAAATGCGTAAGTAGTCAAAGTAGTCGTAAGTAGAGACTATATGCGCAACGAAAGAGAGACATTTTAAAGTGGCGCGGTATACATTACAGCGGACATTTGTTTTTTTTTTTTATTAATGACAAAACGCGCAAAGATTTAATTACAATATTATTGCATGTCGTGTTCAAATATCACGTTGATATCGGAAACTTCAAATAGCAAAGACGGACGCATCTTGATCTTTCATAAAGGGCTTAGAGAGAACGACACGGTCGGTGGTGCGGGGGATGCGATCGTCGGTTCACATAATGAGCGGATAAGCCGGCTAATGTAGTCGTGGTAGACATTGCCAGACGAGAGAAGATAGCTCAAGCTTCGCCGTCGCCATTTCTCTTGTTCATCCCTGGACATACCTCCGCGCCTCTCGCTCTCTCCCTTCTTTCCTCCTTCCCTCCCTCTTTCTCTCTCTCTCTTCTTCCCTCCTCCTTCTCCTCCTCCTCCTCCCCCTTTCGTCGGTAACGTTAACGTACCGAGATAGAATCGCGGACTTTGTCCGACACAAGTTTGTACCACGTCTCGTCGTAACTGCGGCAGAGTCGCACACATGCAGCGCGCGCGCTTCACGAACACGCAGTACGGCTAACACCGTGATTATCCCTTAATTGACGCAGCCACTCCGAGATATAATCCGTCCATTTTGATTCCCGACCCGTCACCGGTGTAAAAAATTACTTTACACACACACACACACACACACACACACGTACACACACACAGACTGCGCGAATTCTCGTGCGGGTTGAAAATTCGCGCGGCATTTTGCGTGACCCGATCGCGTGCTGAAAGCGATATCGAAGACAAACGAACAAGTATTAAAGCACACGAAGCGTACGTAGAAAAGAGATAAATTAATTTTGCGGAAGAATAATCTTTCTAACAACTTTCGCGAGTTGAATCTTTTTTTTTTTTTTTGAGACTGTTTGATATATATTCTCCAAAAATATATGAGCGCGAAAACCATGCGGACGTGAAATCCCGGAAGCTGGAGTTTGTCGAGCGCGACCTCCTCTTCCCAAATAATCGATCAGTGAGAAAATCTAGGTGGGCGGCTTTTTTACGACTCCCCGAGGAATTCCACGGAGTGGATGGGCCGTCTGTACGCACTACCCTTCCCATATCTTAGCGGAACCAAACCTTACGGATCCATTCTTCGTCAGCATTACCGCAAACGTATAACATTCGTGGACTTGCTTCCGCGCATTTTGCCCAATGCCCCGAACTGTCCGGGAGTAATAGAATCGGTCCGTTCGGTAGGAAGAT